CAGGCATGATGGCACGTGCCTGTAATCCCAGCTACTCAGGAGGCCGAGGTGGAAGGATGGCTTGAACCCAGGAAGTGGAGGTTGCAGTGAACCGACATTGTGCCACTGCACTCCAGCCTGGGTGACAGAGCGAAACTTCATCTCAAGCAATCAATAAAAGTGGCATGAGAGTAGGAGCAGAAAGAGGCAAGAAATATTTAGGCTCAGGAACCAAAATGAGCCCAGGCTAAACCACATTTTACAAAACTTCCTTCCCAGCCCCAAAAGCCTGGGAGCCACAGTGAACACATTTGCAGCCACTTCCCAGCATAAGCAGAGATACCACATGAGAAGAAATCAAAACCAAACCTACCTTTTTTGGGGGGTAGGCAGAGAGAGTTGAGGGAGCTAGTTTTATTTTAGGGGCTAAAAGGAGGGAAAGGATGCATGGATTTCCCCAGTTAGGCAGTATCTGTGCAGAATGTTTTAAGGAAGCAAAAGAGTTTAATAGATGTTAGGAACAATGGGCTTTAACATTTCCACGTGGCATAGGTTTTAATTTTGGCATAACTTTTTAAGGAGACATTGCTATCTTTTATATCTTAATGTGTACAACTTATGCAGTAAATTATAATGGTGTTGGCCAACAAATTTTGTATACATACATATGTATTTGTGTAAAATATGTATTATATATATTTCTGTTTTTGTCTTATTAGCTATTACATACAAAGAAGCTAGATAAAAAAGTATCACTTCTAGAAAATAAAGTATAGCAGACCAAAAGGATGATACAGGAATGCTCATGCTTCCTTAGTTGTCTGTTCTTGAGTCACTTACATGGTTTTTCCAGACAAGTGTCTGAGGGAACTACCCCTGCTCTGATAAGGGTTGAGTCAAAAGTAGATGAAGGAACTGCTATGAATAGAGAAAAGGAAACTCAAGCTGGTGGTAGGCTTAGGAAATGTGGAAATGAGATCATATTCAGAGAACAAATTTACTTTTAGTTTTGAAATAAACTCTTCTCTGAATTGATAAGTTCTGTGTAGTCCAGCCTGTGGAAAATACACAGAATGATGAAGGGGCTGCCAGCGGCTGTGGGAAATGGACTTGGTTGGCTTCTGCTGGAGGTGGGGTTTGCTGTTCCGCCTGAGAAGAGGTGCTGCTAAGGGAAGGAGTCAGCTCTGCAGGTCAGGCCCAGGGGTTCTCTGTGTTCAATGCCATGTGCTTCACAGCAGTCTGAGTGTGCAGATGACATCCTCAGTGTTGCTTTTGATTTCCATGTTTCTGAGAAGCAGTTAGTCTCACAGTGATCTCAGCTCGGTGGTACCTGGGTTTAGTGGAAACACCCCAGCCATGCTTAATCCCATCCTCTGCATGTGGTGACACTGGCTCATGGACTTGTCTCTTTTCCCATTCCCTTTCACAGAAGGCTGATGGTTAAAGTCCCAGCCATAATTCTATCCAGGAATATACTTCTGAAATTCAACGGTGGGAAAAACATGACCATAAGTTTTCCTAGAACTCGTCTTTGCAGTGTTTTAAATGGAATCCTGGAACATTTGTGGTCTCTTGCTCCTGTGAAGAGTTTGTTTCCTGCTTTGCTTTATAGACGCCATTTCCTCCCTGGAACATTAGAAAAAAACCACTGCACACAGCATTCTAGGAGCTATAGAAGGATTAAGAATGACCTTTAGCTGAGGAACAAGACAGCACAACCGCAGGAGATTCTGGTCTACTTTCTTTTCACGTGTACATTGTTGCACCTCTGTGGAAAGCACTGGCCCAGTTCAAAGCCAGCCTCAAGCAAACCCTAAGTGTTCCAGAGAAATGGCCCTCAGTCAGTACAAAACTTGCCTGAAGATTCACCCAGATAAAAACCCAGTTCAAATCTGCTAAAGGTGTCTCCAACTCAAAGGGTAGAGGGCAGGGATTTCTTTCTAAGTGAGGGAACATAATATATACATGATGAGAATACCGTTTCCTTACATGTTGTTAGCTGGCAGTTTGAAAACCACTTTCACAATGGTTGTCTCATTTGTTTTTTGTTTTTTTTTGGGGGGGAGGCAGGAAAGTACAGTGTACATCATTTAGATATAAGGCTAACAGAACAAGAGCAATGATATACAGCTAAAAGTTATACAATCGATTACATAACAGATAACAGGAGGTAAGATTTTTTTTTTTTTTTTTTTAAGACAGATCCTCATGCTATCACTTAGGCTGGAGTGCATTGGTGCGATCTCAGGTCACTGCACTCTGCCTCCCTGGTTCAAGTGATTCTCATGTCTCAGCCTCTCAACTAGCTGGGATTACAGGCGCGAGAGCCAACACACCTGGCTGATTTTTGTATTTTTAGTAGAGATGGAGTTTCGCCTCATCGCCCAGGCTGGTCATGAACTCCTGGCCTCAAGTGATCTGTTCGCCTTGGCCTCTGAAAGTGCTGGAATTACAAGTGTGAGCCACTGCTCCCAGCCAGAACATTCGTTTTTTAAAAAGTCTTTGTATATGTTACATGGTTAATACAACAGATGTCGGCAATTAAGGAATGAAGCATATTACACAAGTAGACTTAATTTGGAAAGAAAATAAACATATACAAAACAGCTATGAACCAGGCATTGTGCAGGGATCTTAACATGCATTATTCCACTTGATCCTTACAACAGGTTAGTAGTATTAGCTAATTTTCCAAAGAAAAAGAAAAAAAATCTCTGAAGTTCAAAGAAGAGTGGCTATACTGAGGCACACAGAAACTGTACGACCTGAGGGGCGAGCATATATCTTGCCATTACACCACCCTACCTCATTACTTAGGATAAATGTTGCCCGTGATTTCTTCTTTTTCCTTTTAATTTTGCCATCCCTTCATCTGAATGTGATTATACTCGTCTCAGTCTATATAGCGCCTTCCATCATCATCATCACTGTCATAATAATGGGTGATCATTCATTGACCTCATTAAATGCATCTTATTATAGTTATTTATAGATTTCTCTTCTTACCCATGTTAGTTACACCATATGTTCCTTGAAAGTAGATCTCAAGTCTTATATATTAAGCAGCATCTTACATACTGTTCTACATCTATTATCTCCCCAACAAGTGTTTTTGAATGAACTAAGCGAAGCAAAATGGCATGCCTGCAGTCGTAGCTACTTGGGAGGCTGAAGTGGGAGGATCCCCTGAGCCTAGGAGTTTGAGCCTGCAGGGAGCTATGATCACGCCACTACTCCCCAGCCTGGGTGACAGAGCAAGACCCTGTCTCTAAACAAAAAAGAAAGAAAAGAAAAAATCAGAGCAGAAATGACATTTTACAACACATTGAGAAAAAGACAAAGGACACATTTTTGTTAGTGGATCATCATAACAGTCATGGTCAGTGAATCAGGTTGATAATCTGCTGGAATTGACTTGCTTATGAGTGTCCTTTAGATTCTATTCCCATCCTGGCAGCACTTCTTGAGTACCTTCCAGGACCTGCTGTCCACAGGCTCCAGCCTGACCCTCTTGCCTTGTTCTGTACATTCTGCCACATCCTGTCATACTCCAGACCAGATGGTCCTCCAATGTTGCTGCTTGGTTTCCGATTTCCATCTTTACCTCATCATTTGGACTTGATGCCTGGCAGAGCTTCGGATTCTCCTCTTCTGTTGGTTGTCTCAGGACAAGTCTGGAATGCCCTTCTGGGAACACTGATGTCCCGTGCAAGTGAAAAGACACAGGCTGGAGGAAACATTTCTTTTCTTTCTCTCTTTTCTTTGTGAGCAGAGTCTTGCTCTGTTGCCCAGGCTGGAGTGCAGCGGTGTGAGCTCGGCTTACTGCAACCTCTACCTCCCAGGTCCAAGTGATTCTGCGATTCTCCTGCCTCAGCCTCCTGAGTAGCTGGGATTACAGGCGCACACCACCACACCCAGCTAATTTTTGTATTTTTAGTAGAGACGGGGTTTTGCCGTGTTTGCCAGGTTGTTCTCAAACTCCTGACTTGAAGTGATCCACCCACCTTAGCCTCCCAAAGTGCTGGGATTATAGGCATGAGCCACTGTGCCTGGCTAGTCACCATGCCTGGCCAATTTCTGAAAAGAGGAACTTATAATCTTAGGTCACTTGTCAATGTCCACACCAGTACGTAGTGATCAAAATTCACTATTTGTGGATCAATTTCTAACTGGCACCAGTGATTACTAAAAAATCAGAGACCAACACTTTTCAGCCTAGGATGGTGAAGAACATGGACTCTGCAGCCGGACTGCCTGGGTTCAAAGCCCAGCTCTGAGACACAGCTATTAATAGGTGTGTGGCTCTGAAAAAGTACTCAACCTCTCTGTGGCCCATCCATACAATGGGGATAACATGTGTAGGTTATCATGAAGAGCAGCTGACTTTTCAAAGTGCTTGCAGCAGTGCCAGATGTACAGCGAGAACTATATATTTGTTAAATATTTGCTTTCTCTATATTCTTCTCCTGGGAATGTTTGGCTCTCACTTTCACAGACTGTGAGCCCCTTGAGGGCAGAGACTGTGTTATCCTCAGTACCTAGAATGGTGTCACAACAAGGGAAATGTGCCATAACTATTGTACCATTGGTTTTAATGAATGAATGAGGATTCTGGAGGCAAACTATCACAATCATAAGAGTTAATTACTTATTAGTCCTGCCTTCTCTTACATTTTTTCTTTCCTTTATGTTTTTACATCAGATGCTTCTGCCTGGGACAGGCTGGCAGAGGCAAAACCTTGACTGGCAGCATCGTGGGCTCTGTATCTCACTCAGCTGGAAATCAGCTAACTAACTCTCAACAGCTGATAAATAGAAAGCTTCTCAGTAATAAGAATCGCAATTCTAGTTTTTACAAAAACTCCTAAGTGTAGGGCTGTGGTCCTGTCCTAAAGTAAGTATTGCTAAAGGGAAGCTGTGAAGAGAAATGTTATTTAGCATCAGAATCTGCATTTCTAGGTTGTAAAAGATGGTGGCTTCCGTCTTAAGTAAGATCACTTGTGTTCTCTCTTGTTCAACTCTCACTTTGGGAGAAGCCAGCTGTCATGTGTTAGGACACTCAGGCAGCCTGTGGAAAATCGCACATGGCGAGGAACAGAGGGCTCCAGTCAAACAACCAGTGCCAACAACCACGTGAGTCAGCTTGGAAGTGGATTCCCCAGCTCCTGTCAAGCCTTGAGACAACTGCCATCCCAGTCAATAGCTTGGTTACAACCTTGTGTAAGACCCCAAACCCAAACCACCCGACTAAGCTACTCCTAAAAGTGGTTCATCCAGAGAGATATACATTTCCCCCCAGCGTAAGCTCTAAGAAAACTTTATTACATAAGTTTATAAAGGATGCTGGATAACAGAGTCATCGAGAGCAACTGTACAAACAAAAACCGGGATGTTCCTTCTATCACCATTACTAACAGGGGCCTTAGCTCTGATAAGAGATGGCTTAAGAGGCTGGGAACTAGGCTGAGCTCAGTGGCTCAAGCCTGTGATCCTGGCACTTTGAAAGGCCGAAGCAGGCAGATCACTTGAGGTCAGGAGTTCAAGACCAGCCTGGCCAACATAGTGAAACCCCCATCTCTACTAAAGATACAAAAATTAGCTGGGCTTGGTGGCAGGCATCTGTAGTCCCAGCTACTCGGGAGGCTGAGGGAGGAGACTGGCTTGAACCCGGGAGGTGGATGTTGCAGTGCGTTGAGATATTGTGCCACACTGCATTTTAGCCTGGGTGACAGAGAGACTCTGTCTCAAAAAAAAAAAAAAAAAAAAAAAGACAGGGAACTAGAGCACAGGTACATGGCCTTCTGGGGACCTGACTTGCTGTAGAAATAGTTTTTAGCCTAAAACCTTAAGTAGCACTTCCAAAATCTGTGTTCCTTGGAAAATTGATTCCAAGAGACTCTGATAAAATGGGCACACTGCGGTCTCTATGCCCTTTGGGAGAATATTTCAGCGTATGAAAGGTGTAAAAAGTGCTTCATAAAAATAAGTGTTAACTGTTAAATCTAGCATTTTTCAAATGCTACAAAGACTACGGAACTCTTTTGGGTAATGCCTACACTCCCCGGCATTTATTTGAGAGATGCCAGAGTCTTACCTAGGAAGCTGATCCTTACTTTTCACCATTCATTTGAATCACCTGGTGAATTTTACAGACACCCTCTTCCTAGGACACACCCCAACACATTCTGGTTCACTTGGTCTGGGTGGGGGCCTGGGCAGTGGTGTGGTTTAAAAACTCCCCAGGCGATTCTTATGAACTAAGACAGCAGAGAACACAAACAGCCTCAAGTAAGAATCACCTAGCACACTCGTTAAAGCACTGATTGCTGGGTTCTACCCCATGAGTTTTCCATTAAGCAGGGTTGGGGCAGAGCCCGAGAATTTGTATTTCCCACAGGTTCCCAGGTGCTGCTGTTGCTGCCGAGGGTCAGAGGACACACTCTGAGAACTGGTGCTCTGAAGAACAATGGGTAAGCATGGCTGTCAGGCTATCCCTGTCGTCATCAGTTGGATGTATGGCTGATAGTTCAGAGTACAGAACAAGGGTGTAGAACGCAGATTTCCGTTTGTTCTGAGCTGAATGCAAACAGCAATTCTCATAAGTTGCAACAACAGGTGGAAACTGAGTCTGTCCAAGACAAATTGCGTCCCACCTCCAGGCAGAATACAGGAGGGGTGGTTATATAGTGGGTGGGACCCTGAGGGCTGTCAGTTTTCTGTGGAATGGCCTCAACTCAAGGGTGATGTTAGCAGAAAGGCAGGCATTTTCATAGCAAATCGAGTGTTTACCTGGTTGAAGAAGCCGGGGCAATGAGGAGTGCCTGGCTCAGAGCACAGCAGGGCAATGGAAATGGTGCCTCCTGTAGAGAGGGGTTAACATCAATACCGTTAGGAGAAAAACTAAATTTCAAGGACGCAGGACAAGAGTGGGCTGTGAGGAGACCTTGCTGGGTCCCCCCAGCTACCAGGCCAATCTCGGGGCCCAGCACCAATCCTGAGAGGATGAGCATTTAAGGCAGGCCGACGGGAGGTGGGTATAATGGGGAGACAAGACCTGCTTTTTTGTTTTTGAGACTGTGTCTTGCTCGGTCGCTCAGGCTAGAATACAGTGGCACGATCTTGTCTCACTGCAACCTCTGCCTCTGGGGATCAAGCGATTCTCCTGCCTCAGCCTCCTGAGTAGCTGGGATCACAGGCGCCCACCACCACGCCTGGCTAATTTTTGTATTTTTAGTAGAAACAGGGTTTCACCAGGTTGGCCAGGCTGGTCTTGAACTCCTGACCTCAGATGATCCACCTGCCTTGGCCTCCCAAAGTGCTGGGATCACAGGCCTGAGCCATCCCGCCCGGCTGAGACCTGCATTCTTGTCTAGCGCTGATACCAGTGGACCCTTCTGGGCCTGTTTCTTCTTGGTGGTTTATCCCACCTCGTGCTAAAAATAGTTTAAAAGAAGGACCCATTGAGAACGTCTGGAAACATTTGTAAAAGGGATAAAGCATTGTACCTTGTCAAGTGGCCTTGTAAGAAAATACTTACTGCACTTCCCTGCTCTTGTTCATTTTCACACCTAAAAGGGCTCGTTTTCAGGTTCTCTGACCCTCGGGCATCTTTCTCCAGGCCTCTTGTTTCAGTTTCCTGCTTGCCCACCAATAACCTCATTAGAGTCACACCGCACAGATGGTTCACCTGCTGCTGACAACAGAGAGAACTCAGGGGCAATTTTAATAGTACAGATGTTATGTCTCTTCTCAGAGAAACTACCTCTGAGAGCCCCAGAGTGATAGGGCTATAACCCCAGAAACCTCCACAAGGGAGGGGCTCTCTGCACTCACTGTGCACCAGCCTCTGGCCTCCAGGAAGATGGAGGGTGCTGGGAGGGCAGTCACCGTTCCTCCCCAGCTCAGACTTTCCCTTGTGAAATCCCCGGGTCAGTTTGAGGTCCGCTGGCCACTAAATAGTAAATACTAAAATGGTATCTGTCTATTTGGAAACTTTCCTCAGAACTAATTAGCAACAAGAGAAGACCACAGATAAGAATCTCAAATACCGAAACACCACTGAGGAGACACTACCCTGACATGCTAGGCCTCAGGGGGAAATCGTGTCTGGCCTTCACCTCCCCAGAAACGCATGCTAAAGGCAAACTAGCCACTGAAGGAACAAGTTCAGCAACAAGAAAGCGAGACCCTGAATAGCTTTTGCTAATGAGAAGTGATTTGGACAAACACATTCAGAGAGTGCTAAAGGCCATCTTGCCTCAGGGCCTGTCTACCACTCTCCTTCTGGAGCTCTCCTCTCATCGGCAAGTAGGTTCAGCCATCTCTTGGGAAGCTGAACCCACTCCCTCACTGCGCCACGCCCCTGTGAGAATTATGAATTCTCGCAGCCAACCTTTTATTTTGGAGCATTTACCACAACTGGAATCAAGTTGTGTCATTTGCCTTTGTCTTGTTCAATGGTGTCCTCCCACCACCTAGCACAAAACCTACGCAAATATTTGTGGAACAAATGCACAGATGCTATGACCGAGGAACTTGCAAATATATATAAGAGGGTTTCACGTAGGACTTGCTGACAGCTTTGGTTGAAGTCACAAGACAAGCTGTGCCATCTACATCCACCACTTCCACACTAGTACGTCAGATTCTGAACCATATATTCCGGGACTCACAGAGGGGGGTAGTAAAAATAGCCAGCTTTTCTTCCCTTCGCTTCTGGCTCGTCACTGGTGTAAAGGATGGAGGTAGAAAAGTCAGCTCGTGTTAGAAATCAGAGGCTTTCTATAGAGGGTGACAGTGAGCTTCCCTCTTGCCAAAGGTTAAAGAGACCAGCTTCATAAAGACCACTCAGAAAAACTAATCTGTGACTCCTCAAGCTTGGGGGACACACAGGGCTGGCATGTGACTCGTGCCTGAAAATAAAGGTCTAGCAGAGTCGAGGATGCATTTGGAAGTCACTACACTCGTGGATACCAAGCCAAAAGTGCTGATTGGTCTATGACTGGGGTGGAAGTGTGGGTGAGTGACCAGATGGGATACCTCTAGTTGGCATGTTAGTGTGATCATTTTAAAACGGGCAGTAAGCTATTACCTTCTTGCCTGAAGTGACGGTGGTATGCTATTGGAGGCAGATGCTGAGGGGCGCTGCAATGGCTGGCTATAGGAGAGGCCAGAGGAGTCCAAGGCACCCAGGGTGGGCTCTGACAGTGCCCAAAGGAAACCAAGGCCAAGGACTTGAAGTGTGTCATCCAATCAGCCCTCTCATGCTCCTTATCTCTCCTCCCTACCTTCCGGTCCTTTCATTCTGGGAAATGCTGGGTGGTGGGAGGAGTGGGGAGAATGGCAAATAGCACTTGGCTTCCAGCCTAAAGCAGGCCTAAGCTGGATGAGGGGAGAATATTCCATTCTAAGTGGATTTCGGAATTGTGGCTGTTACACGACTGGACTTGCAAGTTAACCGAAATTAGGCCCTTGCTAAAAGTGAATACAGGACTTACTTAAAAGTAGTTGTCTGCGAGGAATTCTGGGACCTGCCAGAAAGTTCATCTCTGAAGACAAACAGCCCCCAAAAAGTAGGTTTGTAGGGACACACATGACAATTGCTGGTGCTTTGTGATTGCCCTATCCAGTCCCTCATGGTCAATGTGACAGTATTGATTTAATCTTCACAGGCATTATTTTACCAGGGATGAAAGAAAGAGATCTAGGGATTTGGGCAAATTGCTCTGGGTCAAAGGTAGGTGAATATCAGGAACTCAGGCCCAGGGTGGAGGACTCCGTGTTCCATTCTTTCCTCCAATACCATAAAGCATTTTCTATCTGCCTTCCGCAGTTTTTCATGTACGGCTTTTAGGTCCCTGTTCCTGACCTGGCCTTGTCACCATCTATATGTCAAATCATTTTTAACCAAAGACAAGGGGAAAATGGTTAAGAAGTGCATGTTAACAGAAGAGGGGAGCTGGGGTAGTTCACTCAGGCAAGAGGAGGGAATGACGAGAAGGGAGGAGCAGGTGGGGATGTGAGTTAAGGAAGGGAGGAGCAGATGATAATTGGCTACCACAGTCATAAAGATTTGTCAACAGGGGCAGAGAGAGAGGAGGGAAGGAGGAGGGTGGAGAAAAAGGTGGCTTTGCTGAAGGTCCCTAGTGTCTCCTTACGGCTGTTCTCAGCTGCAGAGTTCTGAAGCTCAGGTGGCCACGAGACCCCTAGAGACCCTCTTGGCACTCCTTTGACAAGGCTGGTTTAAATTAACTCTATCCTTCGGAGGAGAAGGAAAATCTTACAGGTATAAGAAAAAGTGATTTTCACGGCAGCCTTTTATCCAAAGCATCTTACCTATAATGAACAACCCCCCTAGTAAACTAGGTGGCAAGAAGCACTTAGGCTTCCAGACAAAAAGGCTCTTTTAAAAACTGTCCTTTATAAAGACAACTGGAAAAGAGAATAGAGTATTCAAAGTTAAGCTCAAGTTTAGAACAAATGCATCAGCACTGTGTCTAAGTTACTGGTAGCCAAGATGCCAAGAGAAGCGAATGTGGTACTTGAAAAAATTCATAGAAAAAAATGTATTTCATAGAGAAATAGGATTTTTCACAGAGCAATCAATAGCAGAGCCTTTAAAATGTTCTGGGCTGTGTCCATTTACCAGGGGAGCTCAATCGCTTTTATGCAAATGTCTAAATTAACCTAATAGGGTTGTTCAGTTCTAGCTGGCTGCTTTGCTACGAATATTGCTACAAAGCTTTCCCCCTCTGAATAAAAGATGGAAAGAAATAAAGTATCCAATAAAAATACATACAGAAAACATACAAGGTGCCAGGCACCTCGCTACATATGTGTCAGCCCAGCAACCTCCAAGGCAGGTATTATCCTGTTCATGATGGGAAACTGAGGATCTGGGGCTTTATAAACATGCCCACGGCCTGTGGCTTGTGAGTGGTGGAGCAGGACTCTAAGTCAAGCTGACTGGCTCGACTCCCTGCTCTGAACCTCTGTGCCCGCTGCTTGTGCTATAGCACTGCTTCCCTGGTACTTTACCACTCCTTGTCTTCATATCCTTTTCCGGTGGTTGCTGGGCTGTTCTCAGCACCACCTAGAAGAGTGTGTAAGCTCCTGCGGTCTTATCCTGCTCTCCCATGTGCTGTCACTTAGACATCTTCATTTCACCATCTACAACGTGAAGGTTTGGGATTCCTGTAAATGGAGAACTAGCCCAGCCCATCAACAGCACTGGGCTTTGCTAGCTCTCCAGTTACAGGCATCCCAAAGTACTTCGATTATCCTCAAAATGTCTACCACTTGGAGGATTACACAAAGGCTAGGCATAAAATAAATGTCAGTAAAATCACATGGCAAATGGACTTGCAAAGTCAAGTCAGTGTATTAGTCCATTTGTGTTGCTATAAAGTTATATCCGAGGCTGGGTAATTTATAAAGACGAGGTTTATCTGGCTCATTTCTGCAGGCTGTACAATAAGCATGGTGCCAACACCTGCTTCTGGGAAGGGCTTCAGGGAGTTTTTACTTATGGTGGAAGACAAAGGGGGAGCAGGTATGTCACATGGTGAGAGAGAGGACACGCCAGATTAACAAGCAGATATGCCATGAACTTATTATGGGAGGGGCACCAAGCCATTGGTGTGGGATCTGTCTCCATAACCCAAACACCTCCCACCAGGCCCCACCTCTAACACTGGGAATCACATTTCAACATGAGATTTGGAGGGGACAAATATCGAAACTCTATCAGTTAGTTTGTCATGGGTGCCAGTCTGCCATCATTAACTGATTCTTAGTCATGACTTTGGGAAGATAAAGTGCAAGAACACAAACTTGAATGACAGAGAAGATTCTTGGAGTAATCCAAATCCCTGGGCCACGTGAATTTTAAATATGACCGATAGAAATAGTCTGCCTCATTCATTCTTTTAATAAATTGTTATTGAGCACCTTTTATATGGCAGGCACTAGCCTAGAGGCTGGGGATACCCTGGTGAACAGAGCCGTTTCTTCTCCCACGGACTTAATAATGCAATTAGTATCCAGTTATAATTATGACAAATGTCACAAAGGAGAAGTATAGAATGAAAGAGTATATACCCAGAGGAGCCTGGGTAGTGCAGGGGGTGGGGGTGGGGGCGGGGCCAGGGGTGGTTTAGGGAAGACTTCCTGAAGGAAGTGAAGCCTAAGCGGAGAGCTTAAGGATATGGAGGACTTAGCTAAGTGAGGAAGGGGAAGAGGGTGGTGGTGGTGGTACAGTCTACTTAGCACAGGAGGCCTTTGGGGTAGGAGAAGCAAGAAGTATTGGAGAGCCTGAAGGAGGTGTGTGTGACTGATGTGTGAAGAGTGGGAGGAACAGGCAACCAGACTGATAAAGTAGATCATGCTATCCATGTGCTCCACAACGAGATTCTGTAAGCCTATTTGGAATGAAGGAAGTCTGGAAGGGCAGTCAGCATACTTCTAGAAGCCCCAGCTGTAGAACTGCAACATGCTGGCCAATTATGTGGACTCATCTGTAGGAAGCACTCTTCTACATTCATAGTCCTAGACGTGAAGTTCTTATTGTCCATCTACAAATGTTCACAGGGTACCAACCATCTAATTACAGTAAGAAAAACCAGCCAGGCTGGCCAGTTGAAGGAGGCAGGCAGGAGTTGAAATGACACATCTCCAGTATTGCACCTGGCAGAATCATCTGATCCCTAACTTGAGAATTAAGCAATCATGTCAGAGCCTACAGCCACTGCCAGTCAGCTTCCTGTCCCAGTCTCAGAAAGATAAAACCAGTAGAGCAGGCATGTGTACACCCAGTGTTCAAGAAAACAACCCCCTAACACCTCACCTTGAAACCTCTAGTTTCTGCCTTTGTCCCCCTTGCAATCAGTCAAAATGAATTCATTCTTACACGGAAAATAGTGTTTCAACAAACACTCCTTCTTGCATTCAGCAGATATTCTGTAGTTTAAAGAATTTTTTTTTTTTTTTCACAGAGCTCCCAAGTGCTTTTACGAACAACAGTGAAACCCCTTGCATGCCTCAGTAAGAAAGCATATTTTCATTTTACAGCTGAGGACAGGAGCCTGTTGAAGGTCCAGTGGGATAAGGGACTGGGGAGGGCACCTGACAGTCATGGTGTTGGGAACCTCACTAATCCTTGAGGCTTCTTATAAACATGACCAGAGACACCGCCCACATTACTCCCTCTGGGTTTTTAATACCAATGTTTGATTGAGGCTTTCTTCCCTTCCTCCTACATTATTCCTTCAGAAGATTTTTAGAAACCAGAGGTTAAGGATTCAGCTGGGAGAATGCCCATATGTCTTCTCAGACTGGCAAGCGGGAGTCTGTTCCTGAGATAGCCTTTTGGTATGAAGAGAGAATGATATGATTACAAGACTGTACCCTTCCCTTCTACCTCCACTGCCCACTTTCAAATATCCTGTTGTTAACTGTACACTTTTGAAAGTAAAGTGAATACGGGAATCAACCTTTTCTCAAAGAGTGTGTTGGCCTCCCTTCAAATGTATTCTGTGATTTCTGACAAATCAACTCCCCCAAAATAATCCACTGAAAATCTTTCTGATCCCCACATTCTAGCCTTTGGAACCAAAAGGGCTTGTCTAGCCTGTGTGGTATCACTGGAATTATCACTTTGAAAAGATTAGTCTTATCCTATATAAACATATGAGGGCTAGGATGGAGAAGTGGTTAGGAACACAGATGCTGCGGTCTGACTTCCCAAGCTCTGCCATGTACTAACTGCGTGACAGGCAAGTTTCTTAACTTCTTTATGCCTTAGTTTACCCACCTGTAAAATGGAGATAAAAGGTGGTGAGAAATGGGATAATGTAGCAAAAATATGTAACAAAGAGGAAACCCTCAATAAATGGTAACTATGATTATTGTTCTCCTAGTAGAAATTGCCCCTGGAGGGCGTGTTCTATACTTACAAACAGGCAGATCCCTGGAACAGATTCTCTGTTCCCACTTCCTAGGGCCCCAATAAGCAATATCTCTGTGAACACTCTGTCATGGTTTTTTTTTTTTTTTTGTTTTTTTTTTTTTTTTTTTTTGACACAGAGGCTTGAAATGAGACAAAGGAAAAACAAGTACCAGAATTGCAAAGTTAACATTTTTATTGAACTGAAATTGGTGTAGAACAGGGGCCACCATAGCTGCTGAGCTCAGTAACAACTGAAAAGCCCCTGTGACATTTTACCTTCGAGAGTCCTAACATGGTTTGAGTGGAACAGCTGAGAAACAGCATACAGATAATTTAACACCTCAAAATAGTTTGAAATGAGCCTCACAGCCTTGTTCAATCTTCAGGCTACAAATAACATTGATAGCATCTTCTGTGGCCTTTACTTAGTAGTGCCAGTTAATATCCTTTCCCAAAACATTCCTCTCAAAGTGCTGGCTATAATTTTTTCCCCATTCAGTACACATAAGAAAAGGATTTAGTAACACTAGGGCAAGTAACAAACTGTAGAACTTTAAAAGTAGTAAAGGCATATACCAAGCATACGTGACTCCATACATTGTCAGAAAGGCAGTGGACTGGCTAAAGAGTTTCTGCCAAGTTTCAGAAGCAAAGAATGCCCTAATGAAAAGGGTAAGGCATCCAAGCAGAGTGTCTGAACTGATGGACCATTTTTGTCTAAAACTAATTTCAACATCTTCCAATATGCAAGCAGGCATTTGTTTTATATAATAAGGTTAAATACTTTATAAGGGAAAAGAAAACTCCTATAAAGCTTATAAGATCAATCAGAGAAAAAATTAATACTGAATTTTTATGATCAATGCATGGAGCAATGATATAAACTGACCATAACAATTTTGTGAGAACAAGTATAAAACATCCATTACGACTTAAAAGTTGAAAGTTAACCCCTCTAAAGTATTCAAAGGGGAATAAATAATCAACAAGATAGGAAACGCAATGCCTATATTTTTCAAAAAACCCACATCTGTTAATGCTCTCTTGGTTTGATTTAAACCAATTGTTTATTCAATCTGGAGTTGATTTAAGGATGTTGGTAAAAATCTTCAAAAGTCCTTCAAATCATTTGAGATGAAATGTGATGGAAAAAAACTATACAACTCATTCTCTAATCTTTAATCTTGATTTTTTTACACTAATTACCCTTCCAAAACAACAAACAAACAAACAAACAAAAAAGGAGATAAATTCTTCCACCAGAGTAACCGACATTTAGTGGCCACTATTCCTGTAGCAATCATTTGTAAGAATCTAAAAGTCTTGCAGCAGGGAATGAAAAGTGATTATAAATATTTTAATAGGCTGATGCCCCATCTTTAAAAGGGATAAAACTTGGATAATAGCAGATTCAGAGATTTACAACTTTCAAATTTACAACTAACAGACAGACACTTTTTTGCAAGGATCTGTCCAACACATACAACTAACATCTAAATTAAGGCTTTTACTGGTATGGGATCAGGTCTAAGGATATGCAATGCTGGATTTCCATTTAGCATCTCCAGCTTTCATTGTTACCCAACTTGTAAACCAGAAGATGTGCCGATGGGCAGGAGCTCCAATGGCTAACCATTCACCAACTGGAAGGCTTGTTTGTAAACAGGTTCTGCATGAGAGTTGGCAGTGAAACAAGTGAGGAGGTGCCTCAAATCATGCAAAGGGGAAAAGTGATTTGCACCTGCTGACATGATGGACATTAAAAAAAAAAAGAGAAGAAGAAAAGCCAACAGTTGACCTTCAGTTCAAGATTTCAAGATTTAGAGACCTAAAAGTTTAGAGCTACATCCAAGCCAGTAGTTCTCATACTTTAGCTTGCAAAATGTCACCTATAGGAAACCTGTGAAAATGCAGATACTTGGGCCCTATGCCTAGAGACTCTAACTCAGGTGATGCAAGTGGTCTAAGCACCTTTTGCTTTTGAGAAACCTTGCTCATCACAAATAGCAGCACACAGTCTTTGATTAAAAGGCCAAGATGTCCAAGAAATAACACCAATGACTTCATTACCTACAGACAAACCTTTCAGGAGACTCTATCATAATAATATGATGCCTGGATTTATCCCCAATTAAGTTTCCCTTTCCTTTTTCAATTAAAAAGTTTGAAATAAATTAAAGTTTAATAATGATTGTACCAATTCTGAGGTAAAAAAAAGAGCACCAGGGATCTCAACGCTAAAAGAAATAGAATTCCCTAGGAGGTCCGTGCTACATAGAAACAAAATTTCTGCAGTATTGTTATAGAGTTGTAGTGCAAAAGGGTCTTGTTTCAGTCTTTGTATAGTCTGTATACATCTGCATACATTTAGTATATTATCTAATTTTTCCAGTTAATGTTTTAGAACTCCAAAGAGAAAAGTTAATCTACATGCTCTCTCACGTATTCTAGATAACCAACATTTTTCTGGTTTACAGTGACACACAACAAAGCTATTTATTTTTCTGGATGCTGGAGACAAACATCTTTATTAAAGACACTACCAAAATTTTGGCAAACATTTCAAAACAGATTTGTAAACATAATGCTTCCCTTTTCAACTGGCAGCACTTTGAAAAGACAATACAATAAGACAATACAACTTAAATCAACATTAGTTCAAAATCCTTATATTTTTGACCACATAACTTATGTTCCCACATGATAAAACAAGTGACAGTTTAAATCAACGTCAACAGATAAACTCCATGAAATGAAAGTTTGTGCTGTTTGATGAATCACAGTATGTTATGGTTAAATATATCCACTCTTTTTATATTCCTGGCACCAGGATGAAAAAAATCTTTAAATATACATCTTATGTAGGTAATAGCTTCTTTGCATATCTCTCTTCAAAAAATACTTTATAGCAGTATATAAATAGGTTACCTGCACATTTAATTTTATAATTTGCCCCAAAACTATAGATCTGTTTCATTTTCATGACGTGTCAATTTTTGCCCAACAATATTAAAGCTGACAAACTCGTTGAAATGGAAATGCTTTTGTCTTCCACAAAAGAAGTAGCAATTTGATAGGAAAAAAAACAAAACAAAACCCTACAGTAACACTCGTCAGTTGTTTAACCTGAGCGTTCGGCCTACTTAGAGTAGCAGCTTTTTTTCCTTCATGCACGCTCACATCCACACCACCTCTGCACACATACAGATCGAGCACACACTTCCAGATGCTGGTAGGCCACAATATGCTTCCCATTGCTCTAATCAAGTGGGAAGCAGTGTAGCTAATGATTAACCACACTATGTACACAACTAGCAAACACCTTAAGGCAACCATTGCAATGGGGGGTTAACTTGCAGGGCAGATTTAATGTTCTAGATCAAGTCAGCCTGTATATACATATGTGTATGTGAATCCACATATACACCTTTCTATTTTTTTAACCCTCCAAGACAATGTTTATTTTTAAAATTTTGTGCAAATTTCTAAATATTCTACCATTTAAGGCAAAGAGTTTGCATTAAGAAAGGTCAAAAATAGGCTTATGTTTATCCAAAAGCATTTCACCTTGCACATTACTGTTGTTTTTTTTTTTTTTTTTTTTAAAACACATACAACTTTTAAGTGTGGACACTGGATCCCCAATATCTAAAAAATCATTTCTAATAACAAACACAAGTTTTTGAGGAGAAAAAACTGATTTGAAATATAGACAATGGATCCCCAATACCTAAAAAATTATTTCTATTAACAAACACAAGTCTTGGGGGCGAGATGGGGGAGGACCAGAAAGAGCAGCTTCAAAATGCAGGGAAGCAAAGTAAAATGGAAAAGAAAAAGTAACTCAAGTTTACTAATACTGAAACTTTCAACAGCCAAAGTTTCACCTTTTTAGAATCTAGAGCAACTCATTTGGAATTTGAAATAAATAAGCTTAAGTTTATTCACATCTTCTGGTCCAAGCAGAGTTCTAGTGCCATGACTCTGCTTGCTGTTGGTCAAATTCACCTATTAGCCTTTTGATGTGAGCCAGCTTGTTATGAAGATATTCACACCTGTATTTTTCTTCATGGTAATTGGGACTAGACTGCAGATGAAACAAAGAAACCAGTGAGGAATGACGTTGCAGAATTTGCAACATTTTTCAACCACAGGTTAAAAAATTAATAGTGACGACACCTACCTGCTTTATCTTCTGATATTCTTGTAAGACTTCTTCATGAACATTCTACAAAATTAAATATTAGAAATTAGAAGAGAACAGCTTCTTTTGTGTGTGGCAATACAAATAGCTAACATGCATTAAGCAAGGGTATAGGAAATATTGACTGTGGGAATGTAACTTGAAACAATCTTTATGAAAGGCAGTGTGGCAACAGCTATCAAAATAGAAAATGCAAAATTGACTCAGCAATTCTACTTATCCTGTGGATATACTTGCCCCTGAGTGAATGACGCATATACAAGATTATTCACTGCAGTGCTGTTTGTAAAGCAGAAGACAGTAAACAAAATTGAAATGTTCATCAATCTATACAAAGGATTCTAAGAGGCCATTAAAACATGGGGAAGTACTTTATGTACCAATATAAAAAAGTTCTCCAAGATGCATTATATTGTTTAGCGAAAAAAAGCAAAGTGCAGAACACTATGGACAGCTTGATACCATTTGTTTAAAAGGGAAAAACAGAATAGTATTATATTCTAAGAATTTCATAACTTGTAAGATGCTCATTTTTCCCCATTTTAATGGAACCAGTACAAACAATAATGTATCATAATTAAGTTATTAGGACATAAAACAATGGTACATCTTACAAATGAAGAAACCTTAGATTCAATTAAATATGGTATATATGTTGAATTTACTATGTACATACATTTTATACCATGTATACATACATGCACATACCACACACATAAACACACTTCCGAAAGAATACACTGGAAACCAGAACAGTGATTGTCTATGGGGGTTGTTGGGGGCGGTCAGGTTCCTGGAGGGATAATAGCGAGCCTAATGTATGTACCAAGTACCAGGCATGGATCCAGGCACTTTACTAGTGCTTACTTATGTTTATTCCTCACAACTCAATGATTATCCCATTTTATGGATAGGGAATTCACAGGCAGAGAAGCATTAAGTAACTTGCCCAAGGCCACACAAACATTAACCGCTCCTAACCAAGTAATCCTTGGAACTACATTCTAGTTTCAGTGTAATCATATACACTGATAAATGACTATATGAAAAAAACAAAAAAACGCAAACCACCATATCACCAACCTCTTGTACCTCTAAACACCGATTCTTCTGGCACAGTCTCTTGTAACCCTCATCAGCTTGTTGAAATAGATTAAGGCCCACTAATAGAAGACATAATAAATTTCTAGGACACAAATGCTCTCAGGCTGCTTTCCCGTTGTGGGAAATCTCATCCATTGTCTCACGTAAGTTCCAGCCTGGACAGTGGTAGTGGGCTGGGACAGAGGCGCCACTATACCATCTGTCTGTGAAGTGTGTCAAAGTAACCTAGCCCACATGGGAGGGAATACTCATTTCTATCAATCCCTTTGCTAAGAATTACAAAAAATAATCAGGACACAGGTCAGGCATCTCCTGCTCTTTGTCAGCTGTAGTAATTTTACCACTTCAAGTAGGAAAGTGAAAACAAAGTAAGACGGGTTAACAAAGATCACTCTGTAGTGAGAAGGACCAAACTTCTTTACTTAAGCCCCAAGTCTCTGTGTATGAAGCCTTCTTTATTTCCTATGTCTATATCTTTCCTATTCTATGTCAGATTGAGGTTTAAAAAAAAAAAACTTGAAATAGTACTGTTTTGGGATAGCACCAGACCTATGAGCTGTAGTCTAAGTTGGCAGTGTAATTAATCAAATATTTAACTGAGTCTCAAGATCCAACTTTTTCTCCTATTTAATTGTGTTTGGTATTTTTCTCAATATGTGACATGTTATAGTGGCACAAGTTTTTTTCCACTGATAGAAATACAGGTTTACTACGATAATTTATTTTCAAGAACTATTTCAAATATTTAGTTTCCTAAAGCAGCAGAGAAACTGGTCTGTAAGAGTACTTACTCTAAAGGCCACTGTGATGGCTGAGGTTGAACAGGGCAGGGAAAGAAAAAAGGTAAAATATTATAGTCAGTCCATCTAGGAACAAATCCATTTACCTGATACTCTTTTGAGCCTGGAGAAAGGCGCTTTCGTTGTGCATCTAGTTTGATAAATCTTCTAGCTACAGTCTCCATCCTGGCATGCAAAGCTCTGTACTCATCATATTCTGCATTGAAGTCATCCTTATAATTCTGGCGTTGCTCATAGGAGACGATAGCGATATATTTTCTAATAAGATAAAAGGAAAAAAGATAAATGGAGAGTAGCTACACAATAGACATGAATATACAAGTCTGAGATTTAAACCAAATATTTAGAGATTATATCCATGCATGTGTCACTAATGTTTAATGCCACTCTGCCAGTGGTTCGCTGCCAGATCAGTCCTCCAAACATCTTCCAGGTAAAATGATTACACAGGAGAGTCTGAGAGCTTCAATGAAACAGAGTAAATGTGGCAAGGACATGGTGGCAATGGAACTAAAATGCAACTAAGTAAAAAGAAAACAATATTTACGTAGATCTAGTTTCCT